GTCTTACAAGGAATCCAGCAATGTCAATTATATTATCCTAACTTTAGTTTGAGGTATTATTTATTACTATACCTTAAAATATAGTGTTTTCCCCCAAACATTTCTCAGAGGGAAGAGCCAGCGAGTGTAGTGTGAGAAGAGGGGGAGGGAGTTGAGTCCATTATTTGAATGGACATTAACCTGGCGACTGTATTTCTCTATTTCTCTTAAGTATTAATTGTGTGCATGTACCATCATAAAATTATGATGTTATTTTTACTAGAACAAAGGTATTGTGTTGGAAAAAGTGGAGTTTGGGGGTCAGCCGGTCTCTATTTCATTTAATCCCATATGTTATGTTGTTCACTTTACTCGTTTCTCGCTTTACGCGGGCCGCCGTGGGTTCAATTGACCGCGTAAAGTGAGGGTTCACTGTAGTATATATTTTATTAATATATAATGTAATATATTTTATAAAACTAAATTGTGTTTAATGAACTGTCACTATATACAGTATTACCCCGCCTAACGCGGTTTCACTTAACGCGTTTTATCATATACGCGGTGCCTCGCCAGAGCTGAACTTTCACTTAACACAGATTTTTTCCACATATACGCTGTGAGTGTCCGGCTCCAGACGCTATTTTTAGATTTGCCCCACCCGCCACCCTGCCTGACTGCCTGTTTTAGCTCATAAAATTCATACAAATTACCCGGCCAGAATATAATTTACATTGCTGGAATTCTTATAATTTGGTGATCATTTTGAATATAAACATCATATATTTTGCATTAGACATACAAATTTTAGATAAAAATTTTTCTCTGAGTAACTATGTTATCTTTTGTGCAAAATATATGACATTTATATTCAAAATATTCCTGGTCTTACAAGGAATCCAGCAATGTCAATTATATTATCCTAACTTTAGTTTGAGGTATTATTTATTACAAAAAAGTTAAGTATTCTGGTTTTCCCACACATCTCCTTGGGACGGTTGGTGGGGGGTGGGGGGGAGGGAGGGACCGACCGACCATCTGTTACCCTGTGAAGAATATTTTTTTTTTTTTATTAACTGAAGATATTTGTTTTAGCTCATAAAATTCATACAAATTACCCGGTCAGAATATAATTTACATTGCTGGAATTCTTATAATTTGATGATCATTTTGAATATAAACATCATATATTTTGCATTAGACATACAAATTTTAGATAAAATGTTTTCTGAGTAAATATGTTATCTTTTGTGCAAAATATATGACATTTATATTCAAAATATTCCTGGTCTTACAAGGAATCCAGCAATGTCAATTATATTATCCTAACTTTAATCTGAGGTATTATTTAATACAAAATGTTAAAATTTATTTTTTTCACCCCACATCTCTTGAAGGGAGGATTGGGGGGGGTGGGGGGGAGGGTTGGGACTGACCGCGCGGTTGGAAGAGGGGGGAGGCAAGGTGGGGTACTTTGATTGACAGATAGTGTCGTGAAGATTATTTTTTTTTTTATTAACTGAAGATATTTGTTTTAGCTCATAAAATTCATACAAATTACCCGGTCAGAATATAATTTACATTGCTGGAATTCTTATAATTTGGTGATCATTTTGAATATAAACATCATATATTTTGCATTAGACATACAAATTTTAGATAAAATTTTTTCTCTGAGTAACTATGTTATCTTTTGTGCAAAATATATGACATTTATATTCAAAATATTCCTGGTCTTACAAGGAATCCAGCAATGTCAATTGTATTATCCTAACTTTAGTTTGAGGTATTATTTATTAAAATTTAGTGGTTTTCCCCAAAAATTTCTCAGAGAGGGAAGAGCCGGCAGTGTAGTGTGAGAGGGGGAGGGAGTTGAGTCCATTATTTGAATGGACATTAACTTGGCGACTGTATTTCTCTATTTCTCTTAAGTATTAATTGTGTGCATGTACCATCATAAAATTAAGATGTTATTTTTACTACAACATAGGTATGTGTCTTCAAAAAGTGGAGTTTGGGGGTCGGGCTGGTTTCTATTGGAATTAATCTCATGTGTTCTGTTGTTCACTTAACGCGGATTTCACTTAACACGGGACCCTCTGGGTTCTATTGACCGCGTTAAGTGGGGTACAACTGTATATGAAGATGCATTCCTGATGACATATGAGAAGGATTCAGGTATTAATAAACACAGATTATTACAGTAATGTATCTTTATTAATTAATGAATGAACAATATTGTATCATGAGAAGGAAGGAGAGGCAGTGAATATCATATGGCTCTGCTCTGGCTCAAGCTAATCCATCTCTGCATCACTGAAATTATGATTCAGGTGGTGATAATAGAAGTAGTGGTGATGGTGAGGAAGATTGTGGTGAGGTGATGTCTATCATTTTTGTTTGGTAACACTGCGAGATGCGAGTGAACAGCTATCCACAAAATTGAGTGTAAGTATAATATAAATGAACAACGTTGTATCCCTTCAACATTACGTTACATAACACTTTAAAATATGTTGTGGTGGTGTGGGGAGAAAGTGGCCGTGCGAACACCCACCCCCACGAAGGGTCACCTCTCACCCAGTGCTTGGCATCATCGACTCCTGCCTCTCATTTTTCATTCATGATACAATATTGTTTATTTTTTATGTACTAATTAGAAAAAATACATTACTATAAGAATCTGTGCTTATTATTACCTGTACCCATCAGTGTAAGGCCAACTCAGACCACCCTGGGCAAAACTCATTTTTTATTGGAAACCACTATTTTCGGCCTAGCTTTTTACAGGCTGACAACCCCTTATCCGAAAACCTTGGGGTCAGATGTGTTTCGGATTTCAGAATGGTTGTTTTTTTTTACGGGTATTAGCCCACCACGATCAAGTTTCTGTAACAACTCCACTTTCCGTGCTGTCAATAATGAGAGATGCTTTCTTTTCTTCTCACTGTTACCCACAGGGGTATCTGTCGCTCTTTTTGACATTTTCACAGTGAAATTAATCAAAATCACACAAAATACTGTATAAGAGAGCAGCAGACGCAGGTGTGACTGGTAGCAACACTGAGACACAAGTAACGCCTTACACCCGCTGCCTGGCATGGGTCAAGCGCAGGTAGCGTCAGGTCTAGGTCGTGTTTCTCACATTTGATCTTTTCTTTATGGTTCTTTATTATTATTATTATTACTATTACAGTATTATTATTATTTTTTTTATATAAATATTTTATTATTATTTTTATTATTATTATTATTATTATTATTATTATTATTATTATTATTGTTATTATTTTCTTATTTTATTTTTAATTGTGTACTTTTTATTATAAATTTTATTTAATATGGATTATTAATATTATTGATGTTCATTGTTGTTATTATTATTATTAATATTATTATTCTTATTCTTATTATTATTATTAGTAGTAGTAGTACAGTATTACATTTTTGCTCCCTAGGCCCCGATGTGGGTCAGTGACCTGTGCCCAGGTGGGCTAATCGCTGGAAAAAAAAAAAAAAATCATGGTATGTGATGTTCCACGAAAAAACTTTTGGTTTTTGGAATTTCGGATAAGGGGTTGTCAACCTGTACTTTGGTAGTGGATAAGATCTCCATACTAGACTGTAAATAAGGTTGAAAGCCCTTTGAAAATAGGGTGTAGCATTGATCTTTGGCAGACAGGAGAGTATGGGCTTGGCTTTTGCGTCGTCAAGTGCTCTCGTCCCGTCAATGAGTGAGTGAGAGGAGCGGGCGGCCAATCACAGCGGCCGGCCCGCAGCCTCCTCCCCTGTCTCGGCCAATGGCAGTGAGCGTCTGCTATCTACGTCATGGCCCCTCCAGCCAATGAGCGCGAAATCCCTCTCTCCCTCTCCCTCGGTTCTCTTTGTTGTGGCGGGATCTACACTCTGATATTGATTAAAGTACAAAAAGCCATAAGTGGGTGGGAGTTTTGTTGCTTCAAGACAACATTTCAACAACCCAGTACATTACTTCATGATGCACTACCTAACATCTCCAAGTACAGTCCTTAGCTTCAAAGTGCATCACATCTGAATGCTGTATCTCAAAAATCAACAAAGTTATGCTTGTTAAAATGGAAAAACTTTAAACGTGGTTTTCTCGGTTTCAAATTTTGGCGCGAGTAACCCTTACTATGTGGGGGGCCTAATATCTCAAAGATAAAAAATACCTTAATGCCATCAGGAATGCATCTCCATATAAGCAATGGCACCAAATTCATTTCTCTAACACAATGAGAGAATGTGAATAAAAGTTTACACACTGTTTTGCGAGCAGCTTTGTACCTCAAAAATAACTTAGCCTTCGTCTTTATTCAAGACATCTTCAGGTCATGAGACCCACTAATCCCCCACCCAAGAAAGGGTGAACCTGACATTCCACCAGAAGGTCAGTAATATGAGACCACTAATCCCCCACCATACCTCCACCTGACACTGAGTCAGGTCAGGTCAGTTACATGAAACCAACTAACCCCCACAGCTCCAGGGCAGTCCTTGCTATAACTCACAACTTCATTCATGAGGCGCCTCGTACACCCGTATAATGTAGTTTTATTTTTTTTATTTATTCTGTATATTAAGAAATGGAGTTTCTAACTTAATTAGAACTGCTTTTACAGACTCTGGTATTTTAGACTCTCAGAAAACTTTTCCCAGCACCCAGAAACATTCTGGGGTAGTGGGCTAGTGTCTGTGTGTGCAAGATGTCTAGTTTAGACACTCAGAAACTTTTCCTGTTAACCGTAAAAAATTCCGGGAATAAGGAATTTTTCGGGGTTTGAGGAAGTTGTCTGGTTAGCCGGAAATCTCTCATCTCCGGAAGTGCTCTGCACCAATTGTTCCGGCTAACGGGGATATCACTGTACTGTACATGTCAGACTATGTCAATCCATTATATATGATGATTTTCACTTTAAAATATTTTTTAATGATTTTCTTTCATTTTGGTGATGCCCAAGAACAATTATGAATTAGAATATTTATTTGTTCTCTTTGTTTAGGTTCGTCTTCACTTGACTGATGCAATAAAGAATTTTGATGAAGATAAAGAAGACAATAAGGACATAATACAACTGTACATGTTGCTTGAAGAATATGACCTGTTGAAGCTCTTCCATGATGGTAACTATGGCTTCTTTGTCAAGTACTGTACTCTATCACTTATTGGCTGTAATACTGTACAATGTATTCCTTATTGTGTTAGAACATCCAGGTAAAGTTGTCATCACTAGCTGCAGAAAACTTTAGTCAAAACGACTTAAAGATACAGTATATTTTGCAGGAAATATATGTTTCAAAGGCTAAGAAATTAGTGGACATATTTTATTTTATGTTTGAAAATACATTTAGAAATTTCTGCTAACTTCATGAAGGATCAACTTCACTCACTGGCATATTTGCACCTGACAGCTGCATTCAGATTCACAAATAAAATTTATCTGGCACTGGATCTATTAATGCAACTGAAGACTGAACGAGGGAACATTAACCTACACTACCAATAATGACTAGTTTGAGAGGTAACCGGTTGAACCTGCTTGTATTAAGTTATCAGTAATAGGAAAAAGGATGAGTGTAATTATGATAAGTGGCAGACCTGAATTTGTGGGGAAAAGGTAGTGAAGGATGAGGAAGAGATGAGAAATGTACAATAAAGTAGTGAAGAATGAGGGAGAGATGAGAAATGTACAATAAAGTAGTGAAGAATGAGGGAGAGATAAGAAATGTACAATAAAGTAGGGAAGGATGAGGAAGAGATGAGAAATGTACAATAAAGTAGGGAAGGATGAGGGAGAGATGAGAAATGTACAATAAAGTAGTGAAGGATGAGGAAGAGATGAGAAATGTACAATAAAGTACGGAAGGATGAGGGAGAGATGAGAAATGTACAATAAAGTAGTGTAGGATGAGGAAGAGATGAGAAATGTACAATAAAGTACGGAAGGATGAGGGAGAGATGAGAAATGTACAATAAAGTAGTGAAGGATGAGGAAGAGATGAGAAATGTACAATAAAGTAGTGAAGGATGAGGGAGAGATGAGAAATGTACAATAAAGTAGTGAAGGATGAGGAAGAGATGAGAAATGTACAATAAAGTAGTGAAGGATGAGGGAGAGATGAGAAATGTGCAGTAAAATTGAGAGCGAGAGACAGGGTAAGAACCAAGAGTGTAACAGTACTGTTTAAGAGATAATCACAATATTATGGATATAATGCAGGAACTACAGGGGCACAGAATATTATGGATATACTTGAACACAGAAACTACAGGGGCCTGAAGCTCATTCTTCAGATTATGAGAGATGTGGAAAGATTACAGTACAGAAGGCCCTCCTCCAAATTTGTGGGGATTAGGTTTTCAAAATGGCCACGAATCACCAAATCCGCAAATAACATTTGTTGACCAGGGGGGCAGGGGGGTTACATTTTTACTTGTGTACAAAGAAATGTATACAGCTGCTCCCCGACTTACGACGGGGTTAAGGACCCAAATCCAGGTGGTAAGTCGGAATGGTCATAAGTCGGAAATGCAAAAAATAATACATATAAAATCTAAAATGAAATACAGTTCAGTACAAGTAATGAAGAATGGATACAGTGTTGCTGTGCACTTACCTTTAATGTAGTCATCTGAATGCACACGGGGCCCCAATAATTTTTTAATTCAACATGGAGACTACATTAATTGGATGAAGCAGAGGAGGAGACAGGGCTGGGTGGGTCATCAATGTCGCTTTCTTCAGACAGGCTAACATACTTGCATGTTGAAGGTATTGGATCATCTTTAGGGAGTGAAGAGGCAGCACTGGTGGGGTGTGAGGAGACAGCAATGGGGACTGCACAGTTTGCTTTTTCTTTTTATTATAAATCTCCCTGTAGCAAGCAAGTGCATCTTGGACCATTCTGTCAACTTTGGCAAATTGCTCAACATTTTGATCCATTCCATCAAACATTTGCATCCCCTTATTAATTGTAGCAAATGCCTCTGCCATTTACTTCACTGAAATTTTTTTGGGGGTGCAGGTTCTTCTACATTTGGACTCTCTTCTTCCTCTGCATTTTTCTGTGCTTCCAGTTCGATAAGATCCTCATTACTTAGGTCTTCTGTTACACTTTCAACCAATTGTTGAACATCTTCATTATCAATTTCTAACTGTTTACCCAGCTCCACTATCTTGTTACTAATCTCAGAAATTACTTCATCTTCATTAAATCCTCTGAAACTGTTCACATATCTTTTCAGGACTTTCTTCCATATTCCATTCATGCACTGTTCTGTAACCTCATCCCATGCTGCACTAATGTTCTTTATACATTTCAAAATGTTGTAGTCCTTCCAAAACTCTCTGAGCGTTTTCTCACCTTCAGTAGCAGCAACAGCCTGAGCAAAGGTCATACTTAAATAATTAGCTTTGAAAGCTGCAATAACACCTTGATCTATGAGTTGGATGATAGAGGTAGTGTTAGGTGGAATGTAGACTACCTTAACATCAGGGTGCATGTCGTCCAGGTGTGGTGGGTGTCCCGGAGCATTATCCAAAACTTAAAATTTTTTTGAATGCAATCCCTTGTTGCAGACAATACTCATTGGCTCGAGGAATGAAACAAGTCAGGAACCAATCCTCAAACAGTACTAGGGTCATCCAGGCTTTCTTGTTACTTCGATAAAACACTGGCAGTGTGTGCTTGCTGACATGTTTAAAAGCCCTGGGATTCTCTGAATGATTGATCATGAAGGGCTTTTTCTTGAGACCAGCTACATTCCCCTCCAACAGAAGTGTAATTCGGTCCTTGAATGCCTTGAATCCTGGCATTGTTTTCCCCTCTGTGGATGTATATCCGTTCTGGCATGCGCTTCCATAGTAATCCAGTTTCATCCAAATAGAATATTTGCTCAGGCAAATAATTTCCTTCCGTGATGACACGATCTAGCGCCTCCTTAAAAGCTTCAGCAGCACCAAGCTGCCTCTCCACTCACCTTAACATTATATAAACTGTAGCGGTTCTTAAATCTGTTAAACCACCCATGACTTGCTGTGAAGGTTTGCTCGCACTCATCTCCTGCCTGCTCCTTCAGGCTTTCGAAAAGGCTTCTTGCCTTAGCCTGTAGGGTTAGAAGGCTTAAGGGTACAGGCTTTTGTATCTGGTCTTCCATCCACATCACGAGTAATTTTTCCATCTCATGAATGGGACCTTGTCTTTTCTTCGTTATTATAGTTCCCTTTATAGGTGCTGATCCTTTTACTACCTCACGAATATGTTCCTTGTCCTTCAAAATAGTAGATATGATCGAGTGCAAGAAGCTTAGGTCGCGTGAAATGGTTGCTACAGTTTTTCCATTTTCATACTGCATTATTATCTTCATTTTCATCTCAAAAGTAATTGACTGTCTCCTTTACTTCTGAGCACCTTCAGAATTAAATATGAAAATAATGTCAGTACACAGCGCGATCAGTTGCGGATACGACAGCCAAACACCAACTAAGCGCTCAACGGTGTGGGTGTGCTGTAGCCATGAGGCGACCCAAGCCATGCGATGCTCTCATACAGGACGGAAACGTTTCGGTCTAGAAAATGAGCGCATCATTTGAAAAAAATTTTGGTACCGATTGCGGCGGTCGTATGTGTGGATGGTCGTTACGGACTGAGGCGGGTCGTAAGTGCGGGTGGTCATAGGTTGTAAGTCGGGGAGTTGCTGTATTCCCTTTGTGTTTGTCCTTAGGACAATTATTTCTTTTACCTGTATTGTATTATGTGTGTGTGTGTGTAGACACACACACACAAAACACGTACAAATATATAATAATGGGAAAAATCCTCTCACAGATAATTAGAAACAAATGTATTAAAAATGTAACGGTCTACCCTAAAGTCCGTGCTTTATTAATAAAGAAATAAAGCACGGACTGTCTCTACACGCACTCACACATATTTACAATATAGGTAAAGGAAATTACTGTCTCTGGAACGAATGGCCCCCTGTCCCTGCCGTAAAAGTGCCGGCAACTTTAAAACTACCCACAAACATTCTTGGGTACATCCTGGGCGTCATCCGCAAATAATAGAGGACTGCGAAATATAAACACAGTAATACCCCGATTTACGCGGTCAATTGAACCCACAGAGGTCGGTGTAAAACGAGAAATGCGTAAATGGAATAACAGAACATATGGAATTAATTGAAATAGAGACTGGGCCGACTCCCAAACTCCACTTTTTCAGACACAATACCTATGTTGTAGTAAAAATAACATCTTAATTTTATGATGGTATGCTCACACAATTAATATTTAAGAAAAATACAGTCACCAGGTTAATGTCCATTCAAATAGTGGACTCAACTCCCCCCCCCCCCTCTTCCCACGCCTGCTGGCTCCTCCCTCTCTGAGAAATGTTTGGGTGAAAACACTAGATTTTAAGGTATACTAATAAATAATACCTCAAACTAAAGTTAGGATAATATACAGGTTGTACCTCTCTAATCCGGCAACCTCGGGACCTGACCGGTGCCAGACCATGGAAATTCACCCTTTTCCTGGATAGATAGTGACTTGTGCTTATGCCTGGAAGCACTAGCACCACTTTCTCTGCATCATTGTCTCTTTGAAGACATATTGAAGGGTTAAATGTCGTATAGTAGCTTCTCAAATTTCGCGAGTTTTTAATTCTTAACGTATTTTATTGGAACACAAGAAAATAAATAAATAAAAATTTTGACGGCGGAAACTTGAATTTCGACGGGTTTGAACGGCCCGCCAACGTGCAGACGACGTGCATAATCGTGTAAACAGCGTCATTTCTCTTATGTACAAAAGATTCATTATTGTTTATTACTGAATGTCTTTTTTATTGAATTAATGTTTGTGTGCAAAATGAGCAATACAATTCATTAATAATACGTAGAATATAAAAACACACGAGGAAATGACACATCATTGTATTCGTTGATTACAAAGACTGACTGGTTCTACATATAAAACTGAAGAAAATAAGACCTTGGTTGTAGCTGTAGTAAAATTAATATGGTTGTTTTAAGTAATGTTATTAATGTTAATAAATGGAACAATAGAAGTAGCTAACGGTAATGGTAAAGAAAAAAGAGAGATCGCATATGTAAGTGCGCATGCGCACACGTGAAAACATATCATTACTTTACATAAGAATATGAAAGCAACACTTATTTACTGTTCATATATATTTTAATTAATGTTTCTGAATTTGTTTTTATTGAATTAATGTACGTGTGTGCAAAATTAACAATACAATTTATTTATAATACGTGGAATATTAGAGGAGACGAGACGGCTGCCGGCATTGTTTATGTTAAAGCTTACGAAACCAGTGACTGATTGGTTCTACATATAAAACTGAAGAAAATAAGACCCTGAGTTTAGCTGTAGTTAAATTAATGTAAAAAAATGAATATGGTTGCTTGAAGTACCTGTAATGTTATTTAATGTTAATAAATGGAACAATATAAGTAGCTAACCATTAATGGTAAAAAAAAAAGAGACTGCTCGTATGTAAGTGCGCACATGTGAAAATATATCGTCATTACTCTACATAAGAATATGAAAGCAACACTTATTTACTGCTCATATATATTGAAGGGTTAAAAGTTGTACTCTGTATAGACAAACAAGCAGAGAGAGAGAGCAGCCGAACTGCCGGATGTAAACAAACCTTAATTTCCCGCGGCTTTTTTTTTTTTATTAAGGGGATTAGCCCACCC